GTTCCGAAGTTAACAAGACCTGCCACTAGAATGCCAATGGTGATTGCCATTTGGAACCCCATGTTGAGCGCTCCTCTAATCTTTGTTGGAGCCATTTCCGCTAGATAAACAGGAACAGACTGCAAATGACATGGTGATTACAAATTAATTAGCCAGCTAGCTCTCTAAATCGAGTAATGCTAGAGAGATCACATTAGTGAACCACATTATACGGTAGATGAAGAAATGTATACCTGATTAGCAAATCCAACACCAATACCAAGCAGCAGGCGACCAATAATTAAGAGTACAATGTTATTGGCAACACCATTTAGGACAGAGCCCATAAGAAAAACAAGGCCAGCCACAAACATGGAGATTTTTCGGCCAAATTTCCTAGTTACTGATGAAGCAAAGAAGGAAGCCACCAATGCTGCAATGTAGAGGCAAGACGTGAACAACGTGAGGAGTTGGCTATCAAATTTGCAGTACTGGTTTTGACCACCAGACTCATTCTTCATTTTATGGTACACAGATGGGAAGAACTTGCTCAAGAACGAGTCCATTGAGGTCACTCCTCCTGCATATGGAGAAAAGTTGTTTAGTACTTGTTTTAATGTAATCTCAATTCTTTTAAACATAGTGAAAAAAACACAATTAATTGTTGTGTGTATGAAATGGTGTTCCAAATTACCCGAGATTCCAAGATCGTATCCGAAGAGGAGACCTCCCATGGCGGCTGCGAGACAGGTGAATACCACAAAGACAGTGACACCGCCTTCATAGTTCCTCCCTCCGCCTCCGCCAACAATTCCTCCTCCAGCCATTGCTCTACAAAGTCTTGCAGTCTGAAAGTTCTTTGAAGTTTAAATATACTTAGCCAAATGATTTTGTCAAGAATCTTTGATAACCACTATCAATAAGAAGAAACAAAGGTATAAATCTTTTTATCCTATCTTTGTTCCTTAATTTCATTTCAAATCCCAGAATGTTCAAGCATATAAAGGCCCCAAAATGCAACAAGCTGCCCGGTTGTTTCAACAACTTAGGACTAAATTCTTGTGAAGCTGCCATATTTAGGTATGAATGGTTGGATATGTTAGGATATAACTGTAGATAAAATTCTTGTTTCAAATAGATTGAGATTAGTAGTTGCTGATATCAAACCAGTCGTGCTGGTTGGAGCTCTAAATTTGGCAATGTGTGAATATTGTTAGTCAAACTCCGTCAGGTATTACCATGAAAAACCATATTGTAAATTTGGATATTATATGAACATATCTTTAACCATATAATTAACCAGAATTCTGATATAGAAAGCTGAGTCAAGCTAACACCCCTTGTCAAAACCTCACCCTTGTTTACAATGACAATCAAATAGTTGGATGTTAAATCGAATAATTAACGGTCAAGATTTCACCATTCAAAATTCTATCCATACGAAATAATTTGTAATATCCATAAATTTACCACTGTGTGTGCCTATTCATCAGATTGCCAAATTTAGAGTACCAAAACATTAAAATGGTTTTAAATAAAAATCAAGTACTTAATTTTGTTCTAATCCAAAAACAAGAATTTGCTGTGATCCTTATCCTCATAAGTTCAACCATTCGGACATAAATATGGCATGTATAACAAGGAAGGAAAGAATTTCACAATCTAGAAAATAATTGTAGGATTATTAGGTAAGTTTGTTTAGGCAGGCAAGCTTGCTACCCTTTGGCGCCTTTATAAACTTTACATTATCTTTCTCTTCTTCTTGAGAGTGGGTTTGTTTAAACTTCAAAGAGGTTATAGACTTGAAAACTTTGTAGAGTGATGGCAGTGATGGCAGGAGGAGGTGGTTTCGTCGGGGAGGGCGGAGGAAGGAGCTATGAAGGACGTGTCACCATCTTTGTGCTCTTAGCTGCCATGGGAGGTCTCCTCTTTGGATATGATCTTGGAATCTCAGGTAATTGGAACACCATTTCAGAAACACACAAACACATCAATTAATTGTGTTTTTTTCTCTATGTTTAAGTGAATTGAGATTACATTACAAGGGGGTTGTACGTATCTCAAGAGATTAAGAGCAGTTACCCCTACACCTGAAGTTCTGTGTTCGAATCCCCTCTCCCCTAATATCGCTTGTATGAAAAGAAAAAAAAAATGAAAAAGAGAATTGAGATTACATTAAAACAAGTTTTCTCTATGCAGCAGGAGTGACTTCAATGGAGTCGTTCTTGAGCAAGTTCTCCCCTCTGTGTTCCACAAAATGAAGAATGAGTCTGCTGATCAAAACCAGTACTGCAAATTCGATAGCAAACTCCTCACGTTGTTCACCTCTTGCCTCTACATTGCATCATTGGTGGCTTCCTTCTTTGCGTCATCAGTAACTAGGAAATTTGGCCGAAAGATCGCCATGTTTGTGGCTGGCCTTGTTTTTCTTATTGGCTCTGTCCTGAATGGTGTTGCCAATAACATTGTGCTCTTAATTATTGGTCGCCTGCTGCTTGGTATTGGTGTTGGATTTGCTAATCAGGTATACAACAAATCTTCTGTCTTTAATTAATTTTCTCTATAGCTCGCTATATATCTCGCTTACACATTTGATTAAAGAATTAAACGTACAGGTCTTAAGAGATATCACATTTTTAGACCATATTCGTTTACAGCATTATGTGGCAGGTGATGTGTTGATTACCAACGCGTCATAAAAATTTATGTGATAATAATAGGACCCCATTTACCATATACTGTAGTTATCCAATGTGAAGTGAAAATATGATCTCTCTACACTAGTTGAAGTTTAGAGGTAGCTTGCTAGATAAATAATTTGTAATCTCCATCTGGTTTGTAGTCTGTTACTGTTTATCTAGCGGAAATGGCTCCAACAAAGATTAGAGGAGCACAGAACATGGGGTTCCAAATGGCCATCACCATTGGCATTCTAGTGGCAGGTCTTGTTAACTTCGGCACTGCCAAGATCAAGGGTGGATATGGCTGGAGAGTCTCTTTGGCTCTTGCAGCCGTCCCTTCCTTGATCTTGACTGTTGCTGCAATCTTTCTTCCCGATACTCCAAATTCCATCCTAGAAAGAGGTCACCCTGACAAGGCCAAGAAAATGTTGAAAAAGATTCGTGGCACCGATAAAGTCGATGAGGAATTCCAAGACCTTCTTGATGCTACTGAGGTTGCAAAAAGAGTGGAGACCAATGGAGCAACATCACACAACCAAGATATAGGCCTCAACTTGTTATTTGTCTTCTTGTTCCATTCTTCCAGCAGCTCACCGGCATCAATGTGATTATGTTTTATGCACCTGTTCTTTTCATGACGTTGGGTTTTGGAAATGAAGCTTCCCTCATGTCCACCGTCATCACCGGCAGCGTTAACGTGGTTGCTACCTTAGTGTCCATTTTCACAGTCGACAAGTTTGGAAGAAGAGCCTTATTCCTTCAAGGTGGTGTGCAAATGTTCATCTGCCAGGTACTTAATTCCATATGCTCAATTCAATGAAATTAATATAAAAAATTTCACATCAAGAGGCTTGTAGCTTAAGTGGTTAAGAGCAGTTATCCCTGCACATGAAGTCCTATGTTCGAATCCCTCCTCCCCCAATATCACTGGTTTAAAAGTAAAAAGAAAAGAACTTGCACTAACATTTACACATACATTGCAGATTGCTGTTGGAGTTATGATAGGCATGAAGTTTGGTGTGAGTGGAGAAGGAGCATTTTCAAAAGGTGAAGCCAATTGGATCTTTTTCTTGATATGTGCATATGTAAAAGCCTTTTGCATGGTCTTGGGGGCCATTGGGGTGGCTGGTGCCCAGTGAGATGTCCTCTGGAGGTCCGATCCGCCGGACAAGCCATCAACGTCTCGGTCAACATGCTGTTCACTTTCATCATTGCCCAAGTTTTCCTCAACATGCTTTGCCTCTTCTTCTTCTTTGCTGGCTTTGTGGTCATTATGACCATTTTCATCACATTCTGCCTGCCTGAGACAAAGAATGAACAGAGTTTGGAAGGCACACTGGTTTTGGGGCAAGTACATTCCTGATGAGGCTGTGACTCATGGCAGGCAAGACAGGGCCGTGTAGTTTGTTTGATGAGAGCAAATTAATTAAAGATTGCAGGATCAGTTTAATGGACTAAAGAATATTGGAATATGAACAAATTCTCGTCAAATCTAATTCAATCACACATTTGGGTAGATGCAAATGTAAAATAGATGTTAAATTAGATTTGATGCAATTTAACTTCTATTTTAGGAAATAGATCAAAACACATTTTGGTAAAATAGATCAAAACACATTTTGGTAATACACTTTGGTGTATTAGACATTGTTGCATCAAATGACTTAAATTGTTCATAATATATTCAACTCCAAATGCATATAAGAAGAGGAAAAAAAAAACATTAAACCAATTTGACACAAGCAAATCCGTCAACTAATCCAGTCATGTTGATTGTTTGATTTAGGAATTCGATCATATTCACCAAATTATCTAAACTGATTAAAATTAGATAAAAATTGGATTAGATCGGTCAATTTAAGCGGATTAAATTGGATCGGTCTATTTTGGCAGAGTTGATATGTATTGAGTAATATTGAAGAAAATATTCCTTATATTTTAGAATCAGCCGTTGGATTTGATTTTTAGCCCTTGATATTGAATACAATTAATATAGGCCGTTGGATTTGAAAACTCTATATTTGGTTTGGGCTTGGGCGGCACTTGAGCCCAATGAGCCGTAAACCGTTCGAAACATACAGTACGGTCGTATAGGGGATCAAACAGTGGTATACTACGAGAAGAAAACGACGACGTTGCCATTATGTCGGATGCAATTCGTATAGTTTCAGGACAGATCGAGCTCTGCTAATAGGAAGAAGAAGAACCCTCTAGGGTTTATCAGATACAGCTCTACCAGGTTCTCGCTCTCTCTCTCTCTCTCTCTCTCTCTCTCTCTCTCTCTCTCTCTTTCTGTGTCTCCCTCTCATTCTGTGGGGTGCTTTGTGCAAAACCCTGTGCCCTAAGTTCCTAACTGAGCTCTGTAAAGGCTTCCCTCATAAACTATAATAAGAAACTAGGGAGAATTGAGGGAAACTCTGTTATGCTTTCACACAACTGTTGCAAAGAGGAATTAACAAGAAACTAGGGTTTGTTATGTTGTTCGTATAGCTCTAATCTAATGGGCTTGTGCTAACTTTAATACTCCACATTATGAGCTTACATGGATTTTGGTTTCTGTATTGTGCCTTGAATTATGTGAAATGGCCATATATTGACATAAATATCTATTAGTTTGTTAATTGGGTTTGAATTTTTAAATGAGGAAGGTTGGATAGACTTGTAGGCTTCTTCTATTGAATTGATGGTACATTTTGTTTATGAGATAGTTCGTAGAAAAGAAAAAAAGAGTATTGGGATAGAAAATGGGACTGTCCGGGATAACTTCTCCGGATTTGCGTGAACTAACAGAGTGGTTACTAAGTGGGGATGCTATAACTTAGTGTTTGTACTGACATTTGAGAATCCCTCTGTCTCAGTGAGCTCAGGGGAAAAAGTTGAGTACATTGTAAGATTCTTTACCTGGTTTTTTACCTAGGATTGTAACATTGATACACATACAGAGACACACAGAGACATAAATATGTGTATATTTTGCCATTTTCTGTCAATGGGTTGATGGTTTTAGATTGTAGAAACCGTTTAGTGCTTAGGTTTAAACTCTTAGATTTGGGGATAGCTCAAAGTCCTAGTGGTAGAACCTATACCCTATACCCTAAGCACTAAACTTCTGTTTCTTGGTCAATTTTAAAACCCTTTAGAAGAGCTAGAGGCACAGTTCGAATGTCCTCGGTCCTGCTAAAGGGGTTCTCATTAGAAGAAGCCATCTCTGTGTATATATCCATATGATGCATATATGTATCTTGTGTTGTCAATGTAACTACCAATCCTTCGGTGTTGCTCTTTGTATTATTTTCTTTTAGCACCTTTATTTTCTTAAGGCTTCTTTTGTTTTGTTTTGTTTTTTTCCAAGTTTCAAAAGGTTTCTATTTGTATTTTGTATTTTTGGTTGAATCCGTTTTGAGTTTTCAATGTGTAAACTTGGGATGGTTTCCAAAAAAAAAAAAAAAAAAGAAAAAAAAAAGGGGAAACCCAGTAGTTTCAATTTGGTTTGGTACCAACTTATAAATCCAGTTTTGTTAAAGGGGCACTTGTTCCAAATTGTAGAGTGATATTTAAAAGTCAGATGTAGCCACTTTCGCAATCTAGATTAAGCTTTAGCTCATGGCATCCAGTAATTTAGTGTGTGTTGTGCTGCCCTGCCTTTTATTTACTGCGTTCACCCAGTCTTTGTTTTAACTAATTTGGTTTATTTATGGCTATGTTTGAGCTCCTGTGAATTTTATGACCAAATGGATTGATGCATTTTTCCTATATCTTGGCCATAATGAAATTAGTGACGGTTGAGTAGTTGCTTCAATCTGGTAGACGATTATCCTTTTCCCCTGGCTTATGGAATGGGGTTGTGTAGGAAAAAGAGGGGCAATATTTTCTCTCTTTCTATTGTGCTTTTCTTGACTGATTGGGTCTTTCTCTTTCTTTTTTGGACTGAAAGGTTCTCTCTTTCTATTGTGATTTTCTTGTGGAGGAAGTTTTTGCCCTGAATTGGAGGCAAATAGTTGATTCTTCTAAAAGTCCCACCAACACCTATTTCTCCATTGCAAATATCACTTCTTTGCAACAACAAATTCTTCAGATATATACTTTCACTGATACCTAGACCAGTAATGCAACCCAAGCGTAAAAGTTTATACCTATAACCAGAAGTTGGAATACAACAGAAGCAATTCCTTTTTTTGTTTTTTTTTCCATTGATAAATAAGATCTTCAAAACTCAGTTTACAATTTCTATAACCCGTCATTGTAGTTGAATCATGGAAATGAAAGAAGAAAGCTTCAGTTTTCTGAAAAGAATATCAGATTTTTTAGGCTTCATTTGGCTTTTTCACTTTCCTCATAAACCTGGTTCACAATAGGTCATTTGCCTTTTCTCTTTTCAAAAGTTAATCCTAGTTTTTCTTTGAAAACACATGGTTTGGATTATAAGAAAACGAGCTATACGCTCCATATGTGCATAACCTGTATGCTTTGGAGAGGAAAACTGCATATGACCTCTTCATCAATGAAAGACAGGAAAAGTAAAAGAAGTGAGTAGACGAGGGTAGTTTCTGTCTTTACTCGTGTCTATCAGTACATGCAGTGGTTTAGATTGTTATGTGACTTGGGTTTTATAATGTTGTCAGGTATTAGTCTATCAGTACCTGCCGTCATTTCTGTTGTCTTAATATCTTGTTAGCTAGTTCTGGTTTTTCTCACTGTGTTATAAGCTTATATCATATGACAGATGTAGGTTGTGATAAGTCATTTATGCTATGACAAATTTGCTTATTCATTTCATTTGGATTGCAGGATTTGAACTCATAGAAAATAAATCGTTTGCTATTGAAATACCAAACAGAGGCAATGATGCAATTTGCTCCAAGTGAGGGTGAAACTGCTTTGTCCATAGTTGGTCCAAGGCCAATGGAATTGTCTACGCATAGTGCTCGCCCAGCACCCGGGCCAAATGGAAAACAAAGGACTTCCAGTTTGGAATCGCCAATCATGTTGTTGACAGGTCATCAGAGTGCTATATACACAATGAAATTTAATCCTGCTGGAACAGTTGTTGCATCTGGGTCTCATGACAAAGAAATTTTCTTATGGAATGTTCTTGGGGAATGCAAGAACTTTATGGTTCTGAAGGGGCACAAGAATGCTGTATTGGATCTTCACTGGACAACTGATGGGTCTCAGATAATATCAGCGAGTCCAGACAAGACTGTGGGGGCATGGGATGTTGAAACAGGAAAAAGAATAAAAAAGATGGCAGAACACTCATCATTTGTGAATTCTTGCCATCCTGCTCGAAGGGGACCGCCTCTTATTGTCAGTGGATCTGATGATGGAACTGCCAAACTATGGGATATGCGTCTGAGGGGTGCCATCCAAACATTTCCTGATAAATATCAAATTACAGCTGTCAGCTTCTCTGATGCATCAGATAAAATCTTTACCGGAGGCATTGACAATGATATTAAAGTTTGGGATTTGCGCAAGGCTGAAGTAATGATGACACTTCAAGGCCATCAAGATATGATAACAGGTATGTCATTGAGTCCCGATGGCTCTTATCTTCTGACTAATGGAATGGACTGCAAGCTCTGCATTTGGGATATGCGCCCATATGCACCACAGAATCGTTGCGTGAAGATAATGGAAGGCCACCAGCACAATTTTGAAAAGAACTTGTTGAAATGTAGCTGGTCCCCTGATGGAAGCAAGGTCACGGCCGGAAGTTCTGATCGGATGGTTTATGTTTGGGATACTACTTCTCGACGCATCTTGTATATGCTTCCTGGCCACACTGGATCTGTCAATGAGTCTGTATTCCATCCCACTGAACCCATTATTGGATCTTGCGGTAGTGATAAGCAGATCTATCTGGGGGAAATCTGAGTTGTACTGATATAATGCAGCATCTTCGTATTTGTTGTGGTAGTGACTTTTGACAATAGTTTAATTTCGGAAGGGTTGTATCTTGCTGTAGTTTCCATATTGGATTTTGACGGATTTAAGTGTATAAGCATTTTGATTAGATTTGCCATTTGTAGATGCTATGCTTGCCTTCCCAATTTCATGGTTCCCCCAGTTGGCGTTGATGAGATTAAATTCATTAAAGGGGAAGATGAATGTTTTGGAGTATTAACAGAAATTAAACTCAAAGACATTTAGGATAAGTGATAATTTCTGTTAATCCTTTTTTTTGCTTGCCTAGCATCTCCAAAGGATTATGCAAATGAAATAGGCAAAATTGTGCTATAACAATTTAGGTGACATGTTGCTTGCCCATTTGCCTCATGAAAAAAGTTGGTCACTCCAAAGGGACTAGGCAATGCAAGTGTTCAAATCATTATTATATTTTTTACATTTACATTTATAATTTATAGAAAGTAGGTGAGAGAGTGGAGATGATATTTCTTTATAAAAAGCAAGTGGGATCTAATATACCTCTTCATTTTGAAGTAGGCAATATTGCCTTGTTGGAGAGAGTAGGTACATTTTGCCTACCCATTTGCATGTTCCCTTGGAGCATGAAAATGCTGATGTGGCAAGGCAAATGAGGTTTGCCTACTCCTTCACCTCTTCCCTTGGAGATGCTCACGTAAAAGCAATTTTGTTTTAAAAAAAAAAAAAAAACCTATGCACAACATTGAGGAAAACAAGCACTAGTTGCACAACATGAGGAAAACAAGCACTAGTGACTACGGCTGGGCATTTAAACTGAAAAAATCAAAAGACGGGCTAATTAGATTGATTAGTTTGGTTTTGTGTGATTTATTATACATTTTTTATTGATATAAAATTGGCAAAAAATTGAACCGAACTAGAAATAGATCGGTTTGAATTTGGTTGTAAAAGCCTTGAACATGCAGTCACTGAACCGAACACCTTTTGAATTTGTGTTTATAATTTTCGGAGTGACATTTACCAACCCAATGAGGTTTACTCCAATGAAAAAGGGTCACGACTTGCAGACCAGTGGTCTTAGGTTCTTAAATGTTGACATGTGCCACCTTCAACAACTTGCATTGCATTGATGAGTGAGTCAACTTTGACTAGTCAAGTGGTCAAATTTTGAATAATTGAGCACCAAAATTTTAGGGCTAATGACAAAAGACCCTCTGAAAATTTGGGGTCATTCTCAATATGGGCCCCGAGATTTCAATTTTATCAATTTACACCCCAATATTTTCAAACCTGTCCAATTTAATCATTTCGTAAGTTGATTGTGAGGTCAATCGTTAACTACTAACGTGACCCCTGTGGGATCCACCCCTCAACTAATTGACTAGTCCCCTTACAACATCTAAAGGGTTTTTTTTGGGTTGAAAATAGGAAAAAAAAATTCCTTTATAAACCTACACCAACAAACCCTTAAATACTTTAAAAAATTAGAAATCAATTAAACAACATGATAAAAAAAAACATAAAATAGAAAGAAAAAAGAAAAGAAAAAGAAAACCCAAAACCTAGCCCCCACTCTCCACAACCGCCGCACCAACACTTACCTGCCTCCATACCCACCTACCTTTGCCCCAAGCCACCACCCATCCTTACCCACAACCCACAACTGTACCAGCAACCTACACATGTGCCTACAACCCAACCTAGATTTAGTGACTACAACTGGGAATTTAGACTAAAAGACAGGCTAATTAGACTGATTAGTCTGGTTTTGTGTAGTTTTATTATACATTTTTTTATTTATATAAAATTGGCAAAAAATTGGACTGGACTAGAAATAGATCGGTTTGAATTTGGTTGTAAAAGCCTTGAACATGCAGTCACTGAACCGAACACCTTTTGAATTTGTGTTTATAATTTTCGGAGTGAAATTTACCAATCCAACGAGGTTTACCCCAATAGGAAAGAGCCATGACTTGCAAACCAGCGGTCTCAAGTTCTTAAATGTTGACATGTGCCATCTTCAACAACTTGCATTGCATTAATGAGTGAATCAATTTTGACTAGTCAAGTGGTCAAACTTTGAATAATTAACCACCAAAATTTTAGCACTAATGACAAAAGGCACCCTGAAGGTTTAGGATCATTCTCAATATGGGCCCCGAGATTTCAATTTTATCAATTTACATCCCAATATTTTCAAACCTGTCCAATTTAATCATTATGTTAAGCTGACTGTGAAGTCAACCGTTAACTGCTAACGTGACCACTGTGGGATCCACCCCTCAACTAACTGACTAGTCCCCTTACAACGACTCAAGGGTATTTTCGGGTGGAAAATAGGAAAAAAAAATCCTTTATAAACCTACACCAACACATCCTTAGATACTTAAAAAAAAAATTAGAAATCAATTAAACAACATGATAAAAAAAAACATAAAATAGAAAGAAAAAAGAAAAGAAAAAGAAAACCCTAAACCTAGCCCCCACTCTCCTCAACCACTGCACCAATACCTATCTGCCTCCATACCCACCTACCCCAACCCCAAGCCACCACCCATCCTTACCCACAACCTACACTTGTACAAGCAACCCACACATGTACCCGCAACCTAACCTAGATCTTCTCCACGGCACCACCACCACTACTTCGAGCCTAGCCTAGCTCACTATATCTATGTAGAAAACTCGCCCAGACCTTTCCCGTGCCACCACGACCAGATCCGAAGCCCTATTACTACTACTACTACTACTACTACTACTACTACGAGAGAGAGAGAGAGAGAGAGAGAGAGAGAGAGAGAGAGAGAGAGAGAGC